CTCTTGTGCATTGTGTGTCGGCAATTTCGAAATTCGGACACGGTAGTTAATTCGTGCCTCAAGAGTCGACGCTCCATAATAATTATTTTGAACGCATACTCGCATATCCTCATTGTCGGATAATTGCTCGACAGTGCAAACGTGGAAAAGAATCTTGGTTTCGCGGAATTTCGCAAAAAAAAAATCTGGGACGACTTTACTCATACGGGTAATTAATTATTCCGCACCGTGGACCCGAAAATTAAAAACACTTTATTAATAGACTGGCCAGAGAACCTGCGAAGCTAGCCCGTTATGATTATAATTATCTTGGCGTAAATTTGTTTTTAGTCACGGCATAAATATAATACGATGTACTTATTTTTATTGACTTCCGTTTTTAAAAATAGACTGCAAATCGGAATGACGAAAAGTAGGTATTTATTACTATGTTGTTCGAATGTCGAAATATGACAAGTGAATCTCTGTATTTCGCTCATTGCATGTAACCTAAAGTGGCTGAAAAATTATTTAAAATTTTGAATATCATAATAATATTTCAAAAAGTCATTTTGTCATTTTTCAAAGAATTATTTCCAAAAATATGATTAATTTTAGTATTTTGTAGCACAGTCTCGAGCATCTAAAACGGTCGGCATAGAATCAACCAATTTTTGTAGATTTTCTGCAATAATTTGCAACCCCTCTGATTGCATATATATATTGCTATAAATACAGTTTTACAATATGAAAATGTTAGTGTTAGCTTAAACTGAATTTAACAAAAAAAAAATTTATATGTGTATTTGAAAGTTTTAACATTGGAACAGTGTTTGGGTATTGAATTCTAACAACGCACTGCGTTATACGAAAAAGAACGACGAAACATGGCGGTCCAATGGTGGGACATACTTCTAATATTTAAATTAGGTACGGTATAACGAAATATTAATCGCTCACGAATAGAGGTGGGGGCAAGGGGTTCGTTAATTATATTAATTAAAAAACTAAAATGCTCTACGAGCATCCATTCTCAGTCAATTTATATCGCTATAAAGATTAGAAGTATGATCAAATTTTCGGATCCCATAGATTAAACGGACACATGAGTTTTGAACTCATCGGGTTCAACTCTCATGATGCAAGCAAAAACCGTAAACAAAATCACAATAATTAAAGTTAGACAAGTGACGCACATAAGCTTCTTCTCAAACTTTTGTCTAGTATATGCCTGTTATTATAAAGGATCTTTAGTGAGCAGTAGGTTTTTTGAAAATATATTTTAAATGTTCCTTAAACCAAAGCTGAGTATGCATGAAATGCATGTAAGCAGTATAAACTAAAAAGACCAATGGTCCTAAAATGGAACCTTGTGGGACTCCAAGAGACCGAAGCACCGGTATACGTATAATTAGAGAATATTCTTTGAAGCCTGTTTGATAGATATGATCTAAATACGATGCTGATGAGAAACTATAAAACTGTAACTTGCTTATAAGCAAACTGTGATTAATGCTGCCAAATGCTTTTAGAAATTCTAAAAGTACCAATATGCTGACCATATATTTGTCACATGCACTGATTATATCGTCGACAACATCAGTTAATGTAACCGATGTAGCAAAATGTTTCCTGAAGTCGCACTGCACAGTCGGAATGATATTATTGTTTATAAAATAATCGTACATTTGCGTATACAAAGCTTTCTGAAATATTTTTGAAACTGCTGGTAAAGTACTGATCATATAAGATGATATTTTCCATAGATCAGGAAAGTAACTCTTCCAATGAGCAATTTATAATATGTGTAATATATTCATCTATGGAGGAACTACAATATTTTAACATTAGTGGTGAAATTTCGTTGATCCCGGTTGCATTAAATTTCATTGAATTTAAAATTTGATTTATCTCAGACACTTCGGCCATCCTAAAGGAGTAAATGTGATTGGTCACAGTTTGAAATATTCTGAAAGAATGCAAATTCTCATTAATTAAAATCGTATCAGACAGTATTGCCGATATTGTGATATTTCTTCGGGAACAATTGTTAAAATTTCTGACAACTGACCATAGTTTGCAATTATTATTTCCTACACATAAGCTATTAAAATACTTAAAATACTACAGAGTTGGTTTTGATTTTTAATATTGGAATGCATTTAAATACGTCGAATCAAGACATCTCGAATATGATCAGCAGGACCGATTGGGATAACTGAACAGTTGTGATTCTCGCGCTAAACCATTCCCGTACTTTTTTGCGCCCATTAACAATAGATTTACAATTTTTTGAAAAGAAACGACGATTTTGCATGATAATTTATATAATTTACTAGACAAATTATAAAAAGTCGCAAAAAAAACAAACATTGCCTTACATTTGTTAAACGTGATAAAAAGGTGTATTAGTAATGTCTCCTGATCCATGGATTTTAAAAATGCTCTAGCTTAGTTCACGCGTTAATAACAATTAAAATTAAAATTAATTAAAAATTAATAATAAAGTTTCCATACTTTTTTCCGCCACTGTATGTTGAAATAAGCTGTTACTTTGTGTGTAGGGTATAATTTTTACGGATTAGCGATACATTTTATGTTGAACGAATGAATGAAATTGCTGAAAAAAAAATATTGGAACATGTTTTGCTTTCCTCGAGTTTTATCAGCCTGACGCGACGGAGGCTTTGAAATATGAGTAAGTAGTTTGTTGTCAACAAGAATTTTCGCGTTTGGGTATAATAAACAACCGTCAGTAAAATACAGTAATGGTACGTGGAAAACGTACTGATCCAAAATGCGAGAAATTATTATTCACCAGTATCATATACGTAAATTTTCCACTGAATTGAATATAGCAACAAATACTGGGTTTATAATACTTCAGAAATATCGTGGAACTGTTAGTATTATTCGCGGTAAAAGCTCGGGCTGTCCAAAAGATGTTCCTCCATCGTAAGTTATTTAATTAGAATATATAAGTCGGAGAGGAGCAATACACTAGGAAAAATAACTGCACGGTGGAATAGAGAAACTGGAATGAATGTTTCTGGAGAATACTTTCTTAAATATATCCACAAGACCGGGCTTAGTTTTTATATATTTGTGTGTTTTGAGTTTCCGTCAGCAATGGTTTTTATTTGAACTACTCGTATAACTCGTACTTCTTAGCGGTACAAATTTTCTATTTTTTACTTATACGAGTAAGCGAAAGAACCATTGTTGACGGAAACTCGAAAAGCGGATCGTTACATTTGAGGGAAATCCAAACTTTCGCTGACCGAACATAACCGAGAGATACCGCACGTAATCCGAAAAAAAAAACAAATATTTCGTAATGATCGTCTCAGAAGGACTATAAAGTGTCCACAGGGTATCACAGTTTATGCTTTATTGAAGGCACAGAAAACGCAGACAGATATCATCATACTTCAGAAAAGTTATTAAAATGGCTAGGAGAACGCGACGTTCAAGCTTTGTCCGGCAGACCTGTCAGTTCGAACTGAATAGTCCGCCTGAACACCAATCGCCTGAACGTGCATATGTTCCGGTCGAAGTGCCAGTTAAGCAAAGAAGTACTAACGCGTCGTCGTCAGTAGAGGCCATGATGATGATTGAGACTTGATATTTCATATTCGCCTGAACGCGAGGAGGGTGGTCAGTCCATCAGCCCACCGGTCTTCAGACGCACTGTTCAGTTCGAACTTGGATCGTGTGTAGCCGGCTTTAGAAATGATTGTCAGCGGCTGGGCACAAGAAATATAGGATAGTTTCACTTCTGAGGGGGTCTAGTTGGTACAATGCCTAATAAAGTTTGGGCTGTTATTCGAACTGAGGACTTTACCCCTTATTAATTTTTATTTCAATTTTTTAAAAATCACTTGTTCCAATATTTAGTTTTAGAATTTCCGCGAAATTTTGTTAACGTAATATTGACAATTAAAAATGCATTAAATAAAAGAAAGTCGGATCCGGATAGGCCAGAGACTTTATCAAGTATCTCATATCGGTATCTATTGTAATTGCCAATGCCTTCGATGGGGTTTGCACAGGACTGGGTGTTTTTTCCGGGGCACTATGTGTCTCGCGACGCTTTAGAAGAAGAATTTACTAAATGGATAACCAAAAATGGCGGACAAGCGGTCAGTTTATCTATACCTCAAATTTCGAACAGTTTTTGAATTTCATCGTGCACTGGCCGAATGGCAAGAACCACTTCGTCTATTTGCACTGCGCGACTAATTGTAAATTAACTAAATGATATGTTGCATTTTAACCGTTTAACCATTTAAAATAATTGTTGCTAATAAAAAATAAAATAGTCTTTAAAAGCATTCGAATTATTTATTATTATTGGAGTATGAATTTAAAATTTTCTGTTATTCTAGAAGAAATTTGTATTTTTAATTTTTTAAAATAAAATATTTCCTTTACAACCAAACTTACCTTTTCGAGCATTTAAAAACTGACCAAAGTTAACCTTTTTATCTACACAATGATAAATTTGTTCTTCTCCTTTTAAACTTTAATTTGTTTTCTATGGTGTAAGTGTATATTGTGTGCACAGTCCATTTTTTTGCTGTTTGTTAAATAAATTACGTAGAAGTAAAGGCGACCTCTATTGCCACATGGACATTCGGTATTAGTTTTGATCGTCAGTATGTCGTAAATATCTACGTCATCGAAGTTTCAAAATTCCTGTCATCTTTGCGGGTTAAAAGGTGTCATTTTCCTCCGTTAAGCGGTCGATCAATAATATTAGGTTCAAAAGATTTGTCAGTATAGAAATCGACGTGAATATTTTTGTCGGTCCGTAAGTTTTATCACTAACCTATTTACAGTGATAAGATAATTTTTTCTCGCTAATCTCGGCTATACGATTTCGTTTGGCATCTAACCGCACGGTATCGTGAAATATCTGTAGAAGCGTTTCGACATATTGCCATTCGCGCGAACTTACTGGAAACTATGAGTAATCGCTAGATGGTTAATTTTAAATCGGCCCTTTTGTTTTGTTTCAGTATTTGTTGTAAAGCTGGGGCATAAGGACGCGAACGGCACCAAAATGGTGGACTACTACAGGGTCCTCGAGGTGTCAAAAAGTGCAACGACGGTTGAAATTAAAAAAGCGTAAGTATTTTATACGATTATAAGTGCGGTTCTTGCGCGGGTCCGGTAAACTTTGACAAAATTTTTTGAAGCAATCGAAAATCATCAAACGCGGCTATTTTTCCGTTTTCACGCAGGGTTCTTACCGATCCGGAAAAACTAAACAAGTCAAGGAATTCCTAAGGGGCATTGAATGTCGGCGATTTTTAATTTTTCAATTTGGTGATCAAAGTACCGGGTGTCCAAGTGAGGACAACTTGGTACGGTTACGGGAAACGGAGGGCCCTAGAAATTTGAAAAAAACACTGTATTAAGCTAAGCAATCGTCCCAGAAATTGTTTTCGAGTTTATGAAATATCCACCAGTAATTGCCGTATTGATTCTTAAAACCAGGTTTGTGCAAAATTTTCTTTTACTAACGATAGTTGAAGCGGCTAAAAGCCGAGACAAATTCAAATCTTTTTTGTGTAATGCACTGTAAAGTTTTGGCGTTGTTCCAATAGTTTGGAATATAATGTCGATAGCTCCAAAATGGCCTGACATATTTGCAAAAAAAAATCTGATAGAAAAAACGAAACGATACTACTTTCGTAAGTCGTAAGAAATAAGAAACCATCAACCCCGTGAAAAATATGAATAAAAGAACTTAGATAATAAAAAGTTGAACTGTGTTAAGAATTTCGATTTTTCTGGTTAGTTGTCTAATTATCTAGAATTTACCGAATTAGACGCGTGTTTATTATTCAAAACGTCCAATGATATTTAAAATCGTAATAAAATGTTATCGTTATCACTTTTTTTACAATACCTCGAAGGACACAAATTGCACAGTAGCCGAATTACTTCGTCTTCAATGAATTTACTATTATCACTTATTTTTATTTATTTAATGAAGTATTGAAATACTCAGTATTTTTGTTAGTTTCTGACGCGGCGCTTTTTTCTTGAAATAGGACCACGATGAACTGACCTGTTTAAATCATTTTTAATGCAATAATGATAATCACAATACGAAAATTCAAATATTAGGTGAATGTAAACGTTATAAAACGGTAGGCAATCAAAGAACTTTGGCAAGTGTCAAGTAACGAAAATCTTGATAACTAAAACCCCATCTTGCCAATTAAATAAGTCAGTAGTTAATAAAATTAATTAGTCTCCCAATTTTGTTCTTAAGTAAAAGCATTTCGCATCTTAAATAATGAATTAGCGTTTTATTTTGTTAATTCTAGATAATTAGATATTAATAACTAACAGTAAAGTAGAAATATTTTGCACTGGATTTTACTTGATGAATATCCAGAAATATTTTCCAAAAATATTTTTTTATAGAGTATTGGAGTAAATATGCGGGTTTTACTGGTTTTTTACAAAAAGGATTTGTGGACTTTGTGGACCTTAAAAATCACAAAAACCAGACCTTGCAGCTTTTGTTTTATTGTGTGAATGAAACTCGTCTTCATCCAGCACAACATTTTGGATTTTAGTTGGTCACATTTTAGGTCTAATTTCTGAACTTATTGTTTTTTGACTATTCTTTTTTACGTCTCATTGCGATTAAAATTTTTTAGGTTTTTTTTTCTTAAATTCGCGAAGTTAGCATTTTTAGCGGCTGTATGGGTTGTTCCCCACTTATCCGCCATAGAGCAACGTGTTAAATTATATATTAAAATAATAATAATGCAGTTGCTTGAGTCTTTGGAAAAACTCCAAAAAAAAATTAACACTGAGGAAGATATCAAATTCAAAAATAAAGGAGCTTTTTATAAATATATCACAATACATTTCACTCTGTATCACAAACCAAATAGACAATGATAGATTCACTTTCGACGCATCTATTCACAACAGATGTAAATAGATGGTCTACTAAATGTTCCCGCCAGAGTATGAATTTGCGACAATGCTCACTTTCGCAATTATTCATTTAGAAATCTTTGCCCCCCATACATATGAAAATATATTTTGTCAATAACTGTTATGTGATATATATACATAATTATATAACTAACATTTTCAACAGTTACATGAGTTAAGTAATGGCTTGCTGGTTTTCTTCTATATAACATCCAAAAAAAGAACGGTATTTTTTATTCATTTATCAAAAATTAAATAATATAGTTTTCACAGTCTAAAGCGTTTTCTCCATGTTCCTTAAACTGAATAGATTAGTTATAATATAATGATTAATAAAAAACAATTTAAAATATAATGTAATAATATCAAACGGCAGGAAATTACTATTATGATATATGATATAATATGACGAACAAGTCAATAGATGATTTTCTATTTCGAAAAAGTTCTCGCATTTCTCTATATACTCTCCATTGTTAAACTAAGTGTACCATTTAATGTTTTTTTTTTTTCAAAATTATGTATTACAAAAAAATGCTTTTATTAACTTTTAACCATATCCAGAGAATATGCTAAATGAATTTATTTTTTTTTACATATAGAGTATTATCACATTGTCACATTCGGAACTAAAATGATGTGCCGTCCAGGGCAAACTCCGTCTGAGTAGTTGATTGATAATTTCTTGGGGTTATTGTAGAGTAGAATGGGAGAAATGAATGTATTCTAGTAGGTGCTCCGGAAATCCTGAAAACTAAGGAAAGTTATTATTTTGATAAAACTTTATCATCGATTTTCCATTTTAATAAATTTCAAATATTAATTTATATTTATTATTTAATTTCTATACTGGGCATAGATTGTATACTTTACCAAATTTATTGACAAACCAAAGCTTATACATGATAAGTATAACTAACTGATGATATGAATATTCGGTTAAAAAAATTAATTTTGTGAATTTATATTTTATGTTATGTTATTGCGTACTGGGTAAATTAATTGTTGGCAAACTCCTTTCGATCAGTGATTTCTTATAATTTTTGTCTTTGGGGTGCAATATGCCTAACGTGGAATTTCAGAAAAAAGTGTGCAAAGTTTCGCGGGTCCTGAAGTGTAGCGGCACCCAAAATGTTTCATAATTTTGCGTTAAGCCGCCATAAATTCGGGACAGTGTGCTGCAAGCGGTATACTGGCGGTATATTGTTAGCAATCTTTTTCCGTCGACTATTAGAATTAATAGATAGACGTACTTGCGAAATCGACGCTAATTTTACAATTAGATAACGTTAATAATAATTGTGAAATTGCGAATTTCGTCAATAGCGTTATTGTTCGACAGGAGGCTAGGAGCCAAATGGCGAAATTCCGCTTCGATTGTTTTTTATTTATCAGAAATATATAGTAAGTTCTCAGTTGTTACTCGTGTATGTACGAATTGGATAAAAAGTCGGACTGTAGACCAAATGTGCACGATACAATTGCAAATCAATAGAAATTCATTAAGGATAATATAAATAAAATAAAATTAATTATAATAATAGTAATAATATTAATATAATGCGAATCGGAGTGGATTTATCATGAATCATGTCTGGGAAGGGTATCGAACTCGGATGGGGACAAGGTGCAAGCAATTTCAAGATGTAGGGACAGAATAGGAATAGGGAAGAATTCGTTTGGTCTAATTCTTTAGGGGAAGAAGAAGAAAATTGGGAATAACGTTATGATCTTTACAAAGTAATAGAGATGTCAGGGTACCAGTTTCGATCGGTGATCTTCTAATTTTCTGCTTTTGCGCTTGACGTCATATTTTAGAAAATTTAACGTTATTAGAGTTTATTATAAATTTGTATATAATAAAAGTAAAAATCCATCAAACGTTTCGTTTTGAAACGTTGTGGTGAAATAAATTTTTATTTTTTGTTAACGATAATTTTGTGATACACACGCCTATGCAGATTTTTCTTTTTCTTTATGTCGAAATTCAATTTGTGTTTTTTTTAACTTCAAAGAGACAGTATCATAATATACGTATTCGATATCTTCTTTGTCGAAACATGGCTCATAAAAGATATGAGAAAAATTGAAATAATACAAAGCTAGTAAAATCGCTAATTTACTTTTTGTTTTTTCTTCTATGATATTTCTATGAGAGTACCTTTTAAAATGTATTTTTCAGAATGACGTCTCATTTTAGTTTTCATTATTCAGTTAGTTAGTGTTTTTTTGAATTACGACAGAATGCGATATCGCAATACAATCACCAAATCCGGACTTACTGCATATACGAAACCAAAATAGTTCCGTAAATTATATCTGTTATGCCTTTCGAGTACAACACACTCATTTGGCCTATTAAATTTTATGAGGGAACCAATGCACTTGATAAGACCGAACATCCCGTCGATTTTGTGTTGCGACATCCAATTAAAATCGTTAGAAAATATGGACACTAATCGACTATAACTTTGCACAATAACGTCGACTTACGAATTAGAAAATTATGAATTTGAAATTAACGTCTTTTTGGTTAGGTTACGACGCATTAGTAAGCGATATGGCGGCTTAAACGAAGAATTCCGTTAAGATATGCAGATCCGATGGGAACGACCTTCCCAAGTGAAATACTCGGGTTTCGTCATTATTATCCATTTAAACTCTACATGATATACCGAACGAACTACTAGAAAATATGCATGTTTTATTCCAAAAAATATTGGATACGGAGAGCTTGCCAGACCAATTGAAATTAAGTATTACAATTTTGGCCAATAACAGTGAAGGTTGAGATCTAACTAAACTAACTAGCTGAAAAAACAAAACCAATATAACAGTATGATAGAGATTATGAGGAATCTTATTACAATTAGACTAAAATATAAATAAAGAACGAAATAATATGGGAAATATATAAAATGTATAAAATGCGGAAAAATCCGAATATATAAATCAACGGCTTCAACAGAAACAAAGAGGATTGTGTGGACTGTAGACATGAACACATTGAGGTTAGTAGCAGGGAAAACATTGCTTGACAGAGTGCCGAATGGTCAAATAGGGCTTTGTAACGTTTAGGGTATTGTGTAGTGAGAAAGACAGAGAGGAAAAGGGTGGAACGAGTATGTTATGAGAATGAAGTAATATACCGAGTGTTCTCTTTT